CTTTCCTGCTCTCCTTAATTGCATTTCCCCCCCCCATTATCAGCAGAAAATGTAATCTTCTTATTCACTGTATCAGAGATAGGAGTTAGAGGAGGAGAATGGTAATGATGGTGTTGTCATGGCGTCAACATCACCTTTGTCTCACACTTTGTCATCACACGCTCACACATTTTCTCCGGAGGGGAAAACACTGGCGCGTCTGTAGTAGCACAGTAGTCAGCACTAGAGCTGACAAAGGTGCTTTGTCCTTGGTAAATTCTGAAAGCCTAAAAAAGTAAGATGTCCACAGATGGCTCTGAATATTGTGAGACAAAAAAAAAACTAGCTATTTCTATATAAATAATTCAACTCTTCTCAGAGTTATTTAAACACTAAGCTAAAACTGAAATATACCTACTGTATATATCCAGCTATAACCAAAAGCCAATTAACCTTGTGAAAATAGCTTCTCTATCCTATTATGCAAATTGGAAAATATTGCCATGTAAGGAAGGGTTTAAATTATTGGTGATTATACTTTTTTTTTTCAATTTTTTTTTTACATCAACTAAAGAGTAAAACCATTTAAACAGGCAGGAAATCATTGACTGTCTGTCAATACCATCACCTTCAGCACTGTTTTTTAATGTGTTTTCCTCTAAACAGGATCATTTATACAATGCTTCATCAAAGAGGAACATAAACTGTCCACTCAGCAGTATAATTTGATGTCCTTATTTGAGGAAACACTTTTTTGTCACTTAACTAACAAACATGGGTTGTCATTTGTCAAAATATCGCAGAATTTCTCACTTTTTTTCCAAGTTTTCTCTGATGGTAAAAAACTGTTGTGTCTTTGAAGATAGAGATTTTTTTTTTTACTAAAATATTCGACCACTTTAAAGATTTCTAGCTTCAGTAAATTAACTTCAGAAGATGAGGTTAAAAAGCAGCAAATTTCCAGCTGCGCCTCTGTTGATTACTTCTTCATGGTGGTACACAGTGCTGCGTCCTTATCGCCAGAGTACTTTCAGCAGAACACCTTCATTTTCATCAAGTCCTTACTGCAGCGAAATGCCGGAGAGAATTGAGAAAGTTAAAAAGAGTTTGAAGGATTCATTTTTTTAATATAGTTTTTTTTTTCAAAAACCTAGTCTGCAGTCTTCCATCTGTGTCTAACTTTTATATTTCGTTGTCTACAACAGGGCAACCTCTTGTTTAATTTATGTCCTATGCTCAGATCTGTACTGTTGCCGCACAAAATATCTTGTACTGCAGTTGAATTGTTCTCCAGTTGCTCCGAGTGCTCCTCTGGGTTCCTTAAACTTCTGCCTCTGCATTTTCCTGCCAAAATCCCCGACACAAACAATAGGTATTAAACTTGTTGTTGAAGTAGTTTTTCACTCAGTGCGATCATTTTAAAAGCTCTGTGTGCCAGCATGGACCATCAAGGTCAAAATCTGCTTTTTTACATTTTTTTATAAAGTAGTTTGATTGGTTCGCTTGTATTTTGGTATGAGAATACCAATGGTAATATACATGGATTTGAAGCGATAATTATGGCCGGTCATGCAAGTGTTGTTGCTAGGCAACTCCTGAAGAAATATAAAGTATGTTGATGCATTTAATATCTTATGGTTTATGTATGGACAGTGTTTGTCAGGACAAGGCTTAGAGTTGTCTCGAATATGGAATTTCAAGAAGTGGTAATAAGCAATTTAGTGGTAAATTATCAATTGCCGTATGTTATATATAATTTTAAATGATTAAAAAAAAACATTGTAGTGCTGCAGCTCTGTATCCCATCTTATTCTGAGCACAAAGTAGTGGCCCTGCTCCTCTGCACAGTGACACCTGCTGAGAGACTTGGCCGAGCAGCGTGCAGAAGAGTAGTGGCTGAGAAATGAACTGTGATGCAGACCTGGCACATGCAGGCACGGACAGGATCCAACAGCTCGTCCAGTATTTCCCTCCTGTAGAAGCCCCACCACCCACAGCCACCTCCCCGATCCTCCACCAGCATAAAAGCAACTGACAGGTGGAGTGTGCCCAGAAATGGAGTTTAGAAAAGTCTCCAAAGGGGAGCGGGAGAGAACTGGCAGTCATGCACAAAAAAATGTGATGTTTGTGTGCACATCTAAAAAAAGGACCATATGTTTTAAGCCACGCAATGCACGTATTCTTATTGAAGTTGTTCTCTGGCGATAATGTAGCCATCCACATCAGATTCACCTAATTTCACATAATCAGCTTGTCAAATGGAGTGAATAACTACTTTAGCAACAAAAACATAAATTAAATCCCATCACCCATTGTCCAACATTAATTTCTAATGATGGAAAGTTCAACAAATGGCCTCACGCCACAAATTAGACGATGGCCTCTCCTCTCGGCCCACGATCAATATGTCACGGGCAGAAGATGTATGGCTGTAATTTTACCTGCCCAGAGAGCACCAAGAAAGCCAATGACTGTAGGAGGGCTGAGGGAGAGGAGCAGCCATCTTAACATAAGCATATATCCCACCCACCCACAAACACTGCACATTCTTTTTATATCCACACTATGTATTCATGTCTATCTGCTCCTCCTGCAGCCATGTTTGTGTGGGCGACCGTGTGTTCGTGTGTGTGTGCACAGCTGAGTGCGTGGACACATTAATGACAGTGTAGACGTAGACCTTAACACCCCGGCCTACCACATGCTCACACACTGACTCCTGCAACATGTACAACCGTACGTACTGTAGCACTGCTGTCACGTTGTTGGCTGTAGGTTCCAGTGTGGAGTTTTTGGTGTTTTGTGGATGACAAACGGCCGACTTCCTTTCAGGCGAATCCAGTTTATTCAGGATGACCGCTTCTTTGCCCACCATATTAGAAATCATTATTTATCTGGCAGGGGGTGGTGTTGGGGGGTGTGGGCCATCGACTGTGGGGTTGGTAAAGTTAGTCTCACTTTATATGTATCGACAACAGCGTTGTAGGCCACTTACTTTCATTACTTCTCATTTAATGAATCGACAAAACTAAGGATACGGCTGCACCGTGACACCAGACGTCAGAAGAAAACCTTGGTAGAACACAAGTAAACACACTTTTCATTGCTTGTAGCTTTTATCTCTAATTGCTGCAGCTAAAAAAAAATTCAGCAACCCAGATTTACAGGTGCAGTTAGTTGCACAAAGAAGATAATAAAACATCTAATCTTCTACTGTATTGGCCTGGCTTGTTTCTAATATTGCTTTAAAGCAGTAAAGTTTTACTGGACCCAAGGTACAGAACATAGACAAAGGACATAACACAGAATGGAATACTTTATTACCAAAATGTCTCCCTGAAAAATTGAAGCTGCCCGGACAAAAGATGAA